TGCTAATTAGCACCCAGTTACCCTGAACATTTTGAAGGCAATAATACAGCTGGAGGCAATTCTGGCACCATATTTCTTCTCGGCTTCTGCATTTGATTTGAGAACATCTTCTTATTACAGTGTTTTGTCATATGAAACTTTATTCAGTTGTATCTATGGCTAGTTTGTTCTGGCTCATTTTTTTTTCCTATTAATCCTGTTAGGCTTTTTCAAGGCTTGTAGAGAGTTTTCTCTGATCCCACCACACAGAGCTGTGTGGGATTTTTCTCTATAAACCGTTAGGCTCCCCCCGCATGCAGGCTCAGGGCTGTAATTGCACACTCGATCAATTCCAGTGTTATCCCTGCAGCATTTTTTCAAATTTGTCAACTTTCTAGGTGCTTGCTTTTCCTATTTTGATTAGATCACAGAAGCCTTACAAATATTTAACAAAGGTGGGCACCATCCTTATGTTTGCGTTCAGAATAAACCATTGTAGTAAAACCATCCCAAGCTGAGTACGCTGTTGACACATTTCTGCTGAAGATCCATACAATTGGAAATTCATGTACTGAATTCTCTCCTACCTAGGTGGAAAATGATTTTTCATTAACTACTGATCCCTATAACAAATTTTTCATCTTAAAATCCACTGACAAGCAGTCATTCTCAAGTTCCACTTTTTCCTCAGATACTGTCATTAGCCACGATTTTCTTCTTTCGAGTCGTAGTATTTCCTTTCAGCTGTAAACTTTGCTTTTTTAAAACCCCTAAGTGCATCTAGTCTGCAACATGATGATGATGAACTAATCATTGTTTTAAGAGGGTTTTAATTGTGTATATGTGCCTCACGGTCCAAATGACTCCAAAATTCTTTACCTGCTATTACATACCATTTCAATTATCCTTGAAATAATGTATTGGCATCTTACTGCAAACTTCAGGAAAACAAAATGTGTCAGCTGGTCCCCCAGTGCTTTTAAAGCTGTTCAGCTAGCCTCCCCTGAGATGTGGTTGTAAAATCTACAATGCACAATTAGTTATGAATTTTACATCTTTTTAGCATTCATGGCTAGACCATTAATGAGGGAATAAATAGCAGAATTTTATTTAATCCCACACATTGCTTAACGTGAATTATTAAGCAAGGGACACACAGCCTTTCTGTCCCCTTTGGCAGAGGGACGTCCGTAGTGCTCTGGATGCAACATCCCTTCTTCCAGATAGCTGTGGATGTAATGTGGATCTAAATTCCTGTTTACTTGAAAGGAATACAACTGGGGGAAAAAACAGAGTGATGTTCACCTCTTCTAACTCGAAATTTCTCCAGCATAACTGTTTACATGAAAGCAAATAGGCTATCTTGTGTCGGTGAAGAGAAATAAATATTTTGGGGTGCAATTTATTTGACCAAAGACAGATATTTATTCTGTAATGAGATAACTGTCCAGAGTACATAAAGACAAATGCTTATTTATTTTCATTGGCATCGGACGTAGACACTTGTACTTGGTCAAAAGAATTGTGCCCTTTTTGCCCAGGCTATGCACTTACCAGACAATTTGTCATTGCTGGGCTGTAATATCAGTTCTGTCATCTTTAGTAGTCTCATTTATTCAGTGAGACTATTTACATATTAAAGTATTACTCAGCATGAGTAACAGTGCCAGCACTGATGTTAATGTTGCAAGTAGAGAAAAGAAATGTTTCCATTAGCACTAAACCTTATCTCAGAAAAATCACTGGGGATTGGCACTTCCCAGAGTTTCTGCTTTCTTTTGATTATCCTTCCTTCTTCCAATAATTGACTCCAAGCAGTTCAGCTTCTGTTATTTGGTGGAAGAGAATCTGTCTTTTTCAGAAATTTATTCATGAAGTTGCAAGAAAGTCTGTGCTTAGGTATCAGGTTGTCTGTGTAGCTCACGAGCAAATAGATTACTGGTGAGTTGAGGGAGTTAGGGATAATGTCATGGGATATGGGAGAGTGAAACTGAAGATAATTTAACTGGTGGAGGGGTTCATATATGAGATACAGAAGAATGAAGAGAGGGAAGAACTAGGAAAGACCAGGATACTTCAAGAAATAGGAAGTGGATGTACAATCTAATGAGGAGAAACTCGGTTGAAATCTCTAGTGGCCCATCCGCTTACTTGAGCTGGACACCCTGTTGTGATTTTCAGTGGATTTGTGATGTGTGAACTTACTTAATACTTTCCTCTGAAACTAGAAGAGAAGGACCATGATTTCAGCTAGGTGATATTCAATTTCTATTTGGTTTGGTGTGACAATTTTACCCTTGGATGAAAAAAAATAAGGATATTGTATCATATGATATGTGCCCTTCTGTGCTCAATTTGGGACCTCTGCCACTGACAGTTCTGCACTACTGTGGCGATCTGGTACCACTTGGATCCTTCCTACTAAAAAAATGGCATTTGGCTGAGTCTAACTCGAATCCCCAGGCAGACAAACTTTAAGAGCTGATCAGGACATGAAAAAGAAACCACAGAAACGTAGTTTCTGGGCCTTGTCCTATGGCCGTGAGTTATCTGGGGTCAGATTTTGCTTTAAGCACAGCCTGAAAACAGAAATTCTGGAAAGTCAATAGAAGCAAATCATTTCAAGTGCATGTACACGTAGACACTGAGCATTCACATACACTTGAATTCTAAGTTAAAAATATTTTTCTCTAAATATGGAATGTTTATCAAGATAGTAATATGTCTGCATCGCTATATAAATCATTACTACACAGTTCCTGTGGGCATATGAATAATCATCAAATATGTGTATATTGTCTGTGCACAAGCACAGGTCAGTAAAGGATTGACTTATATTGACTGCATTTATTTTAATAGAATTCTTCAGTTCTAATCACCTTAATAATAATGTATTACTGCAGTATTTAGCCTCCCAGTTCACTCTAGTTACTCAAGTTTTATTTTAACAGCATCTTACCTCTTTTCCATATCTTAACACTCTACTACTGGCTCCTTGAGTACTGAACTTTTTTACTATATTATTAGCTATACCTAAAACGTCATTTTGCGTGCCAAAACAATTGTGCATTCAGCGTGGAGCCTCAGCAAAAGTAATAAGGTATATGAGCTTTTCTTAAGCATCACCTAATGTTGAAGGAGTCCAGATTCACCTGTTTTCCACCTTCAAATCCTGTATGCAGTGATGGTGAACTCCATATTCAAAAAGAAATAGAATTCTGTGGGCTTTTTGCTAGCATTTCTGTTCTTCACATGATACTCCTTAATTCATGCATTGTGCAGCCAAAGGCAACCCTTGCAATTCCCTGTCTAGCCTGGAGCGTAAACCTACCCACATTTAATTTCTATTTGAACTTGAGTCTTTTGAGGGAGAAGGAATCTTAACCCTCTGTAACAGAGAGTTCACCACAAACACTGAGAAGCTATTCCAGGTCTTTCAGTTTTACTACTAAAGTACGTGTCTGTTTCTAAGTTAGAATTTGTCTAGTTTCTTCTCACAGCCATTGGATCTCATTATACCCTTGTCTGCTGGCTTGCGGAGTCCACTACCAAAATTATGCTCCCTTCAGAGGTACTGTAGACCATGATCAAGTCACTCCAGTAACTTAACTGTCCTGAGCTCCCAGGTCTTTCACAGTAAGGCATATTTTGACTGTAGCAGAATGCAAGCACTCTTCTCAGACATTCTGAACATGGATTTCATTGCAGAGTCATAAAGCATATTTTGCTCATAGTGATAATATTTAATTTCAATATTCATTTGTCATTCTTCGTCTGTAGCCCCATCCTTTTCTCAGGAGGGAAAGGAGAAGCCCTTTCCTTTGATAGTTTGCATTCAGGCTCTCTTAATTTACACCACAGATGACTTGTAGCTGGCTGGCGCCTTGCACAGTTCCTACCAGCTCACCAGAGGGAAGGTTTGCCTTAACCTACATCACAGTTCAGCTGCCTAAAGCCAAGAGAGGTACCTACCCAAATTTTGGTGACAGTACCATAAAGGTTGTTGAAAAGGATGAGCTTGCGATGCTTCAAATGGTGCTTCGTGGTTGGCCTAAACAGAAAAATAACTGAGCTCAGTGAAAGTACTGCTAATTAACACCACCATGGAAGAAGAACTGCTCATTCATTCTCTAGATGGGAACATGGCTCTTGTAACAGATTAAGGACTGACGGTGCTATTCTTTTAAGCAGGCAAAATTTCTGTTGAAAGTATAACCCCTGAGATACCACTTCACAGCAGTAATGTCCATGAGAGTTTTGCCTGCGTGAGGAATACCTGATTAGGTACCAAATCAGTTCTGCTACTTAGCCACCAGAGGCTGTACAAAATAACAATGGGAATTCAATAGAGAGTAGCAAAAACAATTCATAATTTATACCGATACCATGGCCTGCATCTTGGTCTGGCTGCATGTAGCACTAGGACAGAGAACTGGTATTTAAGGGGCAAAAAGTCCCTTCCTGCCATGCAATCTGTCCCTGTGCCAGACCCACGGACACCACGCTGTGTCAGTCACAGCCCACTGGGGAGGTGAGAGGATGGGAAAACCGCGGCGCAGCTCCTGCCCAAGGGGTGATGTGAAGAGTGGCGGGGCTGTTGCCGCACAAGCCCTGTGCCCGCTGTGCGTGCTTTCAGCAGTACTCATGGCTCTTGGGAAAACTACCCCACAGCCCTGTGGCTAAGAAATGTTTCCAGTAAGTAATGTTAAAGTAAAAATATTTCCAGGACGGTTAATGAGCTACGGAACAAAGTTAGGTGGGAATTTACCCCTCCTTCGCGATGTTAAGGAGATAATGCAATAAATGTTTTGTACATTTTTCCATGAGGAACAATTCACAATTGTTGAGGAGTTTTTCTATAGTGGAAATTAGAACTTTGTTTAAATACACACTGTTTGTTGCTGAACGTTTTGTTTGTTTTTTTTTTTTTTTGCATCGAGTCTTAAATGTGGGGGATTAAAATCCATAGAAAAGACACTGAACTGCCCTTCTTAGCTCTATCTCTTCTCTTGATTACTTAGATCCCTATGTGAAGATCCATCTGATGCAGAACGGTAAGAGGCTGAAGAAGAAAAAGACTACAATTAAAAAGAACACTCTGAATCCCTACTACAACGAGTCTTTCAGCTTTGAAGTACCATTCGAGCAAATTCAGGTAATGTCAAACAGTGTTTTGTCTTCCCTCTGCATTCCATTTCTCAGCCCTTATAAATATTTAACAGGAATCTTGTTAATTATCACGTGTGCATGCCTTCATTAGCACCTAGGTGCCAGCCCTGTGCTACATTAGATGAGTGTGACTGCTTCAAGAGGGAAATGATAAAATGCACAGTACTTATGAAGCTTTGATTCATCAGTGAGAAACGGATAACTGACATTTTCTGTTAACAGAAATGGATTCTTGAAAAAAAAAAAATCCACAGGGAGATAGCAAAGAAATGTGCCAGCAAAAAAGTATGGATAAAAGAAAAGGCATATATAGCAATTTTCCTGAAATTATTTGAAATAATAAATTGGCATCATCTGTTAAATGTGTTTCCTATGCATTTTTCAGTCCTGTTTGTTGAAAGTACTGCAGCATCCCTCTTAAGTAAAACATATAATTTAATCACAACTTCTTTTCAGTTATTGCCACACACCATGAAAACCCTTTCAGTGATTCCTACATCCCTTGGAAAAAGTCATTTGAGAGTCTCAGGGGTCAGTACTGCAGTACCTCTTCGCTTGGCATCTCAGGGTAGCTCCAGCAGTTGCCCAGGTCCTACTCCTGGAAAGCTCAGTGCCTAAAACGAGGGGCCTCAGAAGTCATCACAGTGAGCTGGAAGGCACCTACATTAGCAGTGGGAAATACCAGGACAAGGCATTTTGTCATTTTTTTCGGGGACTCAGTAACCTTCCTTTGGGCTACTGGGAGGCAAATCATCTCCCACTGACACGAGTGAGATTTAACCTCTGATGTTAATTAGACTTTTCTCCCAAGGGAGAGGTGCGGGAGGCATGTGGGAAACCTTCATCCAATTCACTCTCCTCCCTAAGTGAATTTAATCTTCAAAAAAAAGCATCTTCAATGCTGTAAGCAAGTACTCTTGTCGCCTGTGCCTATGGCTTGTGTTGGGAGTGCAACACTCATTTCTGCATAAATAAGGAGTATATGGTTGGCCACAGAGCATAAGATCACCTCTTAGTTGGGTGGTTTACTTGGAAAGGGAGAGACTTTGGTCTGATGTAGGTCGTGTAAAACACATAAAGATCAGTTGGTACAGGCCTCCTCCATGTTTTTAAAGCCTTAACCACTAGCGTTAAACTATTTCATTATTTTGCTCACTTGTTAGAGCATTCATTGGCAGGGAGGATGTATTGGTTTAAACATCCTCGGAAGAGAAAATAACTCCATGCCCGTCGATGGAGTCCTGTGACCATGGAGATGTTAAGCAAGACAATATCCTCTTTGGGGGGAGCTGTGTGTGGAAAGTGTACTTTCAGGGGCCTCCCACGTTGAATGACCATAATTAAAATAGCCTGGGAATACAACCTTTTGTGGCTTGTGAGGAAGGTCTAGGTGTGAGTTAGGTGCCTTGCTACTTCTAGTTAAAAGTTTAAATGGGTATAAATGGCTTGGGCCAAATTGAGAGCCCCCTCCTAATTAGATGAGAGCATGGTATGGGTTTTGAGACTCTGTATCTTGGATTTTGATAGCAACTGTACTGGAGAGAAGCCCAGGAGCCAAGGCCTACATTTCAACTAAAGCTGTATGCTTGTTTTTTATTGACTTGGTACTGACAAAGATAATAAAACTAGACAAGGTGAGGAAGTAGGAGTAGTGACTTGGATGCATGACTAGCCCATTTAGAGTTTCTTCATGCCCCACGGCATGTACAGGTGTCTATGGACTCTAGGAATCAAAAAGTGAGAAATCTGGTGGGGCCTAATTCCCATTGATTTTAATGAAAGCAGCTCTGTCTGCTCGTGAAAGATCTCATAACAAGCATCAAAGACCCAGAGGCAAAAAAAAAGATGAATCAAATCGAGCCTCTCTGGCAATTTAGGCAATGTATGTCTTGATTTCCAAACAGAGACAGGACTGGGGAACTGCAGTGGGCACCTCCAAGTTATCAGATCTGAGCTTTGGCATGGTTAGGTGCATTCTGTAGGTACTTGGCCATTTTGTCTTCTTATCCTAAATTAGTTTTATAAGGTGAATATAGGCCCTTTAAAAAGTATTGTGGTTTAGCTGTTTAAATTTTTGCTTTTTTTTTTTTCTTTTTTATAACTATTAGAATGACTTTATAGCTATTTACTTCAGTATATAGCCTCAAATTCAAATCTGTAATTGTGGACTTTGGTCGTATGCCAACGTATTTTGGAGTTACTTATAAAAGACTATATTTAGAAGTTATTTCCTTATGCTTACTGAAGTGATTTCATCATTAGAAAAACACATTTTAAATGTTATTTAGACTTAATATGGTAAGAATCACTGTGACTTTTGGGTAATTCATGTGAAAGTCACTAAGCAGTCAAATAAAAAATAATGGTTATACAAGTTTCTTGATTGTTGGAGGGCGAAGGTAAGAGAGCTCATGGAGGGAAAGCAGCTCAAATGCAGTATACCTCTGTAATTTAAAATGGGCCAAATATTAACATTTTCAACAATTTAATAGCAACTATGGATTCTGGCTCTTAAGGAAAGAAAGTGATGTCTTTAAGAGTAATGGGAGAACACCACTGTGAAGTCAAATTATGTTGCTACAGGCAGGTCAAGCACGTTTTTACCACTTTCAAGACAGACCACCTCCATAGGTAGGTAGCACCATCTCCAGGCCCTTTTAGTCCAAAGAATGCCTCATCACACCGAAGAAATGGCTAATCCAAGTGTTTATTGGCAGAGGTGGTGCTTTCTACTAGCACCTGTTGGGTTTTGCAGTGCAGCTGTTTCTTTAATGTATGGTACAAAGGCAAAAAGATGCTCACCTTTATCTCTAGGTTTAAGCCAGAGACCATAAGGTGAAAATCATCTTAGAGTTGTTCATCTGAGCTAGCTGTTTTTACATCTTTATAGAGCAAGGAAAAGGGTCTTTTGTTTACAGTGCTTACTGTTGTCTTATGATTAACACCAAAAAAGAATCCAATTGTAACTAGCCCCCAAGCTTCTAGGTACAACAGGCAACTTTTTTTTTGCACCGTAAAATAGTAGTCTCATGCTTACATTTTATATCTGTGATTGTACCATGCATCTAAAACATAAATGTTCATTTGGGGAGGTACCATCAACATTAAAAGTGAGTATATTGCAAACAGCAACACTGAAACATCATTTTGGCATCTAGAAATACTTGCTTCAGGATATTGCCTTTTATCATGAGTGCTCTGGGGAGACAGTCTTGAGTTTGATGTACACTTTTGTCATCAGCAACTATATAAATACTTTAGTGCCTGTTGGAATCATCTCTTTCTCTGGCTCAGTGAATTGTACAATCTTGTAAGGGAATGGACTCTATAAAATAGACCTCATGAGCCTGGTCTTGCAGATATGCTTAAAAGAGTCGGTTGCTTTTAAAAGATAATCCTATTACAAGCACTGAAATTAACCATTCTGGTAAGAAATCCAGATTGTACCTATATTTAAAACCTTAAATCTAAAAACCTGATGCTGGAGAATAAAAGAATTTTCTGGAAGAAATGTGTTTCACGGCATTTCTTCCTCCAATTCAGGAAACACACTGGAATAAGAAGCTGTGTGCATTTACCATGGGATAGAAAGGAATCAGGAAAAGAACTGTATGTTCATCTTTAAAAATAAAGCTCCCTAAGGAGAAGCGTTTACAGTTTAGTAAAATCAGCCCAAGGCTGTTAACATCTTAGGTGCTGTTGGGGAAGAACACCACTCCACTGAAGGAATAGCTGTTTGTGCTCTTTTGGCAAATATTAATGACCTGATGGAGAGGAATGTGCACACAAGTGCATACGCAAATGCTTGGCTTGAACATCACCTCCCAGTGTGCCCCAGTCTAAGTGAATGGAAAATTGTCTATGAGCTGTGACAGATGGGCTCGCGCAGATTTTGTGGGAATAGTTTAACCCTGTTTGCCAGAGGTCACCGTTCCTACAGCAGAAGTGGCACTACAACACCAGCTCTGTCGCAGGCAGCGCCGGTGTGTCAGAGCCCCGAGACAGTGGGGTTTATGCTTCTTTCCAACTCCCCTGAGCGTGCAGCCTGTTTTCTAGACTCCTTTTTAAATGTATAGAATATACACAGTATACACACATACTTACAGATGTGCACACGCACACACACACAGGTGAGTACGTGTGTGTATGTATATGGTAACCACAAGGGCTGTCTTCTGAATTTATCTGAAAATAACGGATTAGTATGATGGATAGACGGGTAGGAGTTGTTTAGAAGCAGAAAAGCAGCTAACAGAATAGAGTACACCACTGCAAAGGTTAACTTGGGGTAGAGCGGTTTCTGAATTTTACCTAATTTTTACTTATTTACTTAAACAATAATGATGTGTTAAATTACACTACTTTTGCCTTAGCTTACTTTAAGATCTCACTTTTAGCCCTACAGCCTTCTAGCAGTCTAAGTCTTCAGTAATGAAAAAAAAAAAACCATAGGTGGTTAGTCTGTTAAAGGAAAAAAATAATTCCCATATGACGATCTCTTTGATGCAAGGGGGCAAGTTTCAAGCTAACAGGGAGGATATGAACTTAATTTTATTTGGAAGGCTCACAGGAAGCAAAGACAAAAGTTTGAATTTGCTTCTCGCTGCAGGAACCTGCTGTGGCTATCACACACTTACCCCCTCCATGGAGTCGCCATTGTCGTTGTCTGTCCCAAGATTCATCCCTGCCCACCTTCCCCTTACTGTCACGCTCACTGGTCTTTCTCTGTCTCGTTGTAGAAAGTGCAAATAGTTGTGACTGTTTTGGACTATGACAAGATTGGCAAGAACGATGCCATCGGGAAAGTCTTTGTGGGCTACAACAGCACCGGAGCGGAGCTGCGGCATTGGTCAGACATGTTGGCCAACCCCCGGCGGCCCATTGCACAGTGGCACACCTTACAGCCCGAGGAGGAGGTAGATGCCATGCTGGCGGTCAAGAAGTAAATTAAATTAAATTAAATTAAATTATGAAGAAGAAAAAGAAGAAGAAGACGAAGCCTTTCTGCATTTGCCCACATAGTGCTCTTTAGCCAGTATCTGTAAATACCTCAGTAATATGGGTCCTTTCATTTCCAGCCATGTGTTCCTGACACAGATCAGTTGTACTTTTAAATTCCCATTTTAATTTGCACAGGTTTAAATGTAGAGAGCCCTCTAAAGGCGATTCATTTCACCACTGCCCCCCCAGATCTACTCTTCTTTTAAGCAATATGATGTGTAGATAGAGCATGACAGAAATTATTTATTGTATCACACAGTTGTATATATACACCAGTATGCTGAGAATTTATTTCTAGTTTGTGTATTTGTATGTTGTAAGCGTTTCCTAATCTGTGTATATCTAGATGTTTTTAATAAGATGTTCTATTTTAAATTATGTAAATTGACTGAGATATAGGAGAGCTGATAATATATTATAGGGTAACTATTGTATCGTCTGCATTCCAGAAAAAAAAAATTCCAACTTGTAAGGCACTAGTAGTGTTACACTGACATCTTAAAGGACAACTTAAATCTGAGCTTTCAACTAGACCATCCTAATAACACGCTACGCGTCCACAGTGAATCTTGGAGGGGCAAATCCGAGTGGGTAGACTTCTTTCACAGGCAACTTAGCATGATCTGAGCAGCTCCATGGCTGACCTCAAGGAGACGTAGCCAGGATATAATTTTTTTGTATATATTCCAAAGCAAACACATAACAGACTGAAATGGCTTTAGATTGAAAGTTGAGGAAGCAGTTCCATAGGAGGCAACGATTTCGTCTAACATACAAAATAAGACCATTGCAGAGGTTGTGCAGGGAGGGGGGAAGGGAGGGGGGAGACGCAGCAGTAGCGAAATGCTGCCATGAAAACAAGAGTAGCTCTCCGTTATCACCTTTATACAAAATTTGCATACTGTGAATTCCATCCACGATTTCACATTATAATGAGTTTGCACATTAGACTTTGTAACAAAATATTTTATTATACTAACTCAGATTAGAAGGAATGCAGAATATTTTTTAGACACAGCCGTGTGAGTTTATTATACAAAATAGTTTCATGGTAAACAGACAGTATTGTAATCCCATCAGAAGATGACAAAATTTAGCCATAGTTCTAAATGCACTTCAAAGTAAGCCAAAAGAGAACAGCTAGTGACCTTTTATATACTATTTATACTTAAGTTTTAATTTGTCCTTTAAAAAAAGTGAAAACAAAGAACAAGTTCTAGAAAACTGAAGCAACCTCTTCTGTATACTAGATGCTCGTTTCAGGAGGAGTTTTTAAATGTTTTCAATGTTATTATGTAGTAAATGGCACTATTATGAAGCTATTAGTCATTCCATAAGAGTCTTGAAAGACTGCTCTGTGTATCACTGTGACTGCCGTGTGTGCTTAGAAATGTAGTTTTCTCAGTGGATAGCAATCAATTTATTCCGTAGTGATATTGTAATAATACTGCCATTCCCTTCTACTGCACTGCCGAAGGAATGCGTAGCACAAGCAGTTCTAGTTATTATGGACCAATTTAGAACTGGAGAGCTATGCAGGGGACAAGGATGCTATATCGAATGGGTTGACCACGCAGCATTTTGTCAAGCCCTGTGCAATACTCTACATTTCCAACCGCCCTCACCCTCGCCCCCCGCCGCTTTACTGTAGATAGTCATCTTACGGCTAGCCAGCATGTCATCTCCGCTTGTACCATCTCATCAAGTCATTTAGGGCATCACTTCTATCTCATGTACCGTCCTTTGAGGCCCCTCGCTTATCTTGCCAAGCTGTGAATATAATTGTAATGCTTTGAAGAGTTCATTATTTTCAGCAATGCAGACTACCCCAGAAATGTGGAAATGCTATACCTTTTGGAGGGAGGCACGAGAGGCTACCCATTAATGTTCTTATCGGTCGCAGCCAAAAGAAATTACTGAAAACAAAGAACAAAGATGAATGTAATCGGAGACCTGTGTACTGAAAACTAAATTTCACAGCCTCCCTCGAGGCTCTGCTTCTGGGAGAGGTGTGACAGCCTGAGCGGGCAGTGCAGCGATGGCCAAGCACCGATGTTTTCAGTACATTGGGGGTAAAAGAAGCAGCAAAGAAGTGGGAGGCGGATGAAAGCCTGGATCTCTCCCCACCTCCAAAAGTGAGAATAGCAAGACCCATTTTCTTTCTTTTTTTACACGAAACACGGAAAAAACACAAGTGAGACATTTTCCGATAGAAACAGGCGCATACATGCAAAGCATCAAGCTGGAATACTTTAAAATCTTCACCTTAAGGACCAAACCCCACCAAAGAGAAGTAGACAGTCAGCTTTCCAGCATAAGAGCTTCATGGTCTCCAACTTTCAGTTGTTCATTCAGGATAGCTGCAGGTTCAAACTGCCAAGACTGACTCGTGTTAAGGTATCTTAATGCTTTCTCTTCCTACACTGCCAGACTGAATGTCACCGTAGAACTGGTTTGTAAGGTACAATGATTCTCAGAGACTGAACCTGCCATTTTCATCCTCAAAGAAGCCACATGTACCTTTCTGACAAAGCTGTGTGAAGTATTAGAATCTGATGCTGTAGAAAGATCCTAGTTGCCTTTGTGTATATTTACTGCCTGCTTGAGTGTTTCTCTGTGTGGGTTTTCTCTGTATCTTGTAGAAATGTTTGGGGTGTTTTATCCTGCCATATCGCTCGTGGCCCGCGAGCTGACAACTTTAGCCGTATTTTACCTTCATTTTTGATGAGGTGGTTTATATTTTGTTTCACTTTGTGTAGTGACTTCCCACAGTAGAGTTTTCCAATTGTCGTAAAAATAACATACATATTACACAGATATTCAATAAAAATGTTTTATTTCCTGTTGATGTTCTAGCATTGCTCCTTTGATCTAAAATTTTGAAAAGACATTTCACTCTAGGACTTTAGTGCAATCATAAACTTTGAAGTATCGCAAGTGTAATAGCACGGCACTTTTGGAGGGGCTGTGAAAAGCCGCTTTCATCAGTGTGGTCCGCTGTAAGATAGCCACAGGCAGCAGCGTTCCAGTAGATGAATTCTCCACCTCTATTGCAGATGAAGAACTAGTACCTTGTTTTCCCAAGAGCCTGATTATTTGCCTCCAAAAACATCACTCTCTATCAAAATGTGGACTAGTTTCTATACCATGACAAAAACTCCAAGTAGTTACCTACGCATCAGTACTCTTCAAGCCAATTGTGTTAGAGCTGGGGTTGAAGTTTTCATTTGAACTGACATTCAAGAGCTATTTCTAAGCTGGCCATAAAATCAAGCCTCTTGTAGACTGAAGATCATTAAATAAGATCTTAAACTGGGGGGGGGGGGGGAAGGTGTGGGAGGAAGTGAATCCACAAAATGAAAAAAGATTGAAAAACATTGTGCTATGAAACAATTTATGTTCCTGAGCCTGTGAAGAGAAACAGCTCAAAACCAACAACAATAACACCAACAACACCACCACTACCACCACAAACCTGTAACCATGTTTGTTTTATGTTACCATTTTCAGTAGCAATCCCTACTACCCATGCTTTTTCCCCAGTCTTAAGATAAATATGCCCATTACTTTCAGGAATCACACTGTAGTAATTACTGATATGCACCAGTTTAACCACAACACGAGGCCTTACTACAAGTTAGAACTCATTGTAAATATTTTCATGCTCAACCCTGTTCCCTACTGCCACTGCTCAGAAAGTGCCCGCTTTTCTCCCAGCTATTTTTTTTCCCATCATCTAAAGTCAATGAGCACCGAATGGACTGATGCCACTCTCAGGGCGCAAGAGCAGGCCAGCATCTCCAGGTAGGCCTGGTGATTTGGAAAGCAGTTACTCTTCCAAAACTGTCTGTGGCTGGAATTTGTGGCTGTACAGATCTGCTGTGAGGTGATGCCTCCTTGGTCTGCAGGAGCTGAGGTCACACTCCTGTGGTGCAACATAGTCCCCCATAGATAAAGGCAGGTACCACATTATGGAGGTATGAGTTGCTGCTTCTCCCTTCTTCACCGTCTATACTGTTGCATGATCAGACCAAGCACGTACAAGCTCCTAAGAGGAGCAGTTTGCTTAAAAGCAGACCCAAATCTATCAAATTCAATAAATAAAAATACTTTGATCAAGATTCTGTATGCACCACCCACTTTTGCAGATCTTGAGAATACCAAAATGACATCTTTGTCAATCAAAACCAGTTCTTCCAAAAGGGCTAATCAGTTAAAGCTAGTCATTACAACTAATGTAAAGAAAAATGCTTCATATAATAGCTGTTATACTAAGTGGGAGAGCAGCAAAAATTACCAATTTTATTCAGCTCATTTAACCCCTAATCAACTGTCAAGAAAAACATTCTTCCCAACTGACAGACTGTTACCAAAGCAAAGGACCTACGTCTCTCGATCACTTTTCACATCATGAGTCAATGAAAGTTAATTGCCTGTTAGTTATGCAAAGCAAGAATTAGAACATTATATTTTCTGATTACTCTAACAGTCTTATTTATTTATGCATTAGCATTTTCACTCCAGGCTGCCAGTTCAGTTTCTTATACACAGTGACCTGCTTTCCAGAACATACATCTACCAAATTCATGTCCAGCCTCTATTTTCAGTGTCAATTTAGACACTGTTGTTCATCCAGACATTAAAGAAAGTATGGAAAAGGGTTTTTTGATACAAACCACAAGAACTTTTAGCCAGTCTTAGTTACATTTACCCTATATGCAATAAATCTTCTTATATTCAATAAAGACAATACTTAAAATATTGCACGAAAAAGTAGTTTCAAAAGTGTGCGACAACTATTACAGTGAAGAAAGTAACTCTGTGTGGTACTTTCTGACTGACACCAGCAGCAAAATTTTCACACACAACAGCCATACAAAGAGATTTATTTCAAGATTATGCTGTATTTGACATTAAAAAAGAAAGTTCCACAAACTAGGGAATGATCTAGACATCCTTAACGGAGTTTATGAAGAGGCCACATATGTTGAGGAAGTCAAGACAGTTCTTCCAGGCTTTTGGGGTGAAGGCGGAGGGGGTAGGTAGTACAGTCTTTTTATTCCATGCATGCAGTGCACAACAACATACTGAGATTTTGAACAGCCATTTAGACCAAAAAAACCCAAATCAAAACAAAAGAGTTTCATCTTCTGACAGAACCAGTCTCATCAGTTTGGCAGCTCACATTTAATTTCTGTCAACCATTTCATATCTTTGTACACTCTCTTATTACTTACAACAAGGAAAGCACTCGGTAGGTGATGCACCGGTGTTATACACCAAATAGAGCCGACATCAGTTTTTCACATGAACAAAAGGCCAATGCCCAAGAGTGGCAAAATATTCTCTGCTCTACTAACCAAGATTGTCCCATGATCCTGCACAAACCTCCCAAATTTTGCTCACATTCTCCCAGAGCCCAGGGACAGTTCTCTCCTTGTATTTATTGTATTCGCATAGGTGTGCCTTAGCCTAGATCTCATTAGTCTTTCCTAAGAAGCAGCAGTGCCCACTGGCACCAAGAGGTTGTTCGAAATGCCTGATGTGGATCTGTCGTTGAAGAGTTCCAGATTGGGCTTAGGCTATATTTGTCTTCTCCCCTGGACCATTCATCACAAGGAGAAGGAGGATCTCTGGCTCTAAATCCTGATTGAAAGCCTGACAGGTTGGAACCTGGAATGCGACGCTGAAGTCAATTATTTTGCACTTAGTCAGAAATGTTATCATCCACTCGTTCTCGTGAAAGACAGACTCTGAGGCTCAGTAACTTGCATCCCGCTCAAGATAGCATTTTTCTTCATGAAACTGGCAATATTATTAAACCAATTTTTTGAGACAGTTTCTGTGACATTCATAGAGTCCAAATGGCTTTCATATATTCTTTCTTTCAAGTACAAGGTTGCCTCTGTTGTTTAACTCAGTTAAGAATTTCTACGCCAACTCTTCAAAGTTCACAATAAGTGGCTAAATTGTTTAATAGGCTTTAACTCCTTGCTGCAACAAACATCTTAGAGTTTCACTCACTCCTCTGCAACCATACACCATGATCTGACACTGATTAATACATAAAAGCCCTGATGGAAGGCTATCAAGGAAATGAAGTAATCAGAGTGACTGATAGAGAACTTTCTATGGGTTAAATTAAGATTAAATCATCAAATTTCATAGTATAAGATTAAGGGAGAGGTC